GCGGGGACATGAGAGAAGCCTTCCACAAGGATGGTAAAACATCAAAATATCTGGCATCCCCTGGGCAATGTCCTTGCAGGCGGCCAATTCTCTCACACCAAAAGCGACTTGCAGTTTCTCAAGTCACTCCTGACACCAAACCAAACCAAACCAAACCAAACCAAACCAAACCAAACAAAACAAAACAAAACAAAACAAAACAAAACAAAACAAAACATTTTTTATAAAGAAAAGGACTTGATGATTAACAGAGTCAGATACGGGAGAGAGAAAGGGGGCATTTGTTTCCCTATCTTTTGTTATGGTTTTTGCCTAGACAATTTGTTTAAGGTGTGTGTACGTTTATCCAGGTGTACTTTGCCCCAGTGTTGCTAGATGAGCCAAACACACGCACTGTCATTGCTGTAAAGAAAAAGCTGGCATCTTTGGAACCGATCCCCAATGGAGGCCACAGAAATGGACGGGAGATGCCTTCCAAGTTTACCTTTGAAAGACAGCCAAAACCAAAGCCATAATAAACCTCACCATGGTGTCAGGGCGACTCGTCATGCAGCAAGAACGGGATATTTTATCCTTGGAGACTTTGACCTCTGATTTGACCTCTGTATTTATATAATCATGTTTACTCACAAGCATAAAGGAATTACATATATTAGAAACCAACACTTTCTCATGACTTTATTTTCCAGATCACCAGGCTGGGCCACAGCAACGCATGGCAGGGGACAGCTAGTAAATAATAAAACTCTATTTTCTTTCTTGGGAACTGGTCAGAAAGCACCTTCCAACTGCTAGGGAATGAGCATTAAAAATACTCCTTCCTCTACTAAAGGTACCTGACATGCTTCACTTCAGTTGGGCTTTCATGGGTCATTGGAAGACATTGCAAGAAATACTGTGCAGTAAGACAGTATTGAGAAAGGCATACATGTTCTAAAACAAATCCCTCTCAGCTGCTCTCCCAATAGTTTTCAGCTAAGTTGACTTCCCCTTTGTTTCCCATGTCATGCCTGGGACACAAGAAAACGCACCCAATAAGATCCACCTGAATGAAAACAGGGTGTGTGTATATATGACTAAGGCCCCTGCCACACAGCTGAATAAAGTCCCACATTATCTACTTTGAACTGGACTATATGGCAGCGTGGACTCAAATAACCCACTTCAAAGATGATATTGTGGGATTTTTCTGCCTTGATATTCTGGGTTATATTGCTGTGTGGAACAGCCCTCAGATGGTGTAAACCAGTGTTTCTCGACCTGGGGATCGGGACCCCAGGAGGGGGTCACAAGGTGGTGTCAGAGGGATTGCAAAAGGCCATCAGAAAATACAGTATTTTCTGTTGGTCTGTGTGGGAAGTTTGGTCCAATTCTATTGCTGATGCGGTTCAGAATGCTCTTTGCTTGTAGGTGAACTATAAATCCCAGCAACTGCAACTCCCAAATGTCAATTTTATTATCCCCAAACTCCACCAGTGTTCATATTTGGGCAAGTTTGGTCCAGATCCATCATTGTTTGAGTCCACAGTGTTCTCTGGATGTAGGTGAGCTACAACTCCAAAACTCAGTGTTTCTCAAGCTGGGGGTCGGGAGTTGCGAGAGGGCGTCAGAGGGGTCTCCAAAGACCAATTAAAACCTGTATGCCAGCTGCGACCGTACCTCGTCAGTCATGGCCAGTCAGATCTGGCCATGGTGGTCCACGCCTTAGTCACCTCCAGATTGGATTACTGCAATGCACTCTACTTGGGGCTGCCCTTGAAGACAGTTTGGAAATTTCAATTGGTCCAACGGGTGGCAGCCAGATTAGTAACTGGAGCGATTTACAGGGAGCAGTCAACCCCCCTGTTTAAGGAGCTCCATTGGCTGCCGTTCATCTTTTGGTCCCAATTCAAGGTACAGGTTTTACCTACAAAGCCCTGGATGGTTTGGGACCCACCTACCTACGCAACCACATTTCTGTTTACGAACCCACGCAATCTCTTTGATCATCTGGTGAGGCCCTGCTCTCGCTCCTGCCCCCTTTGCAGGCGCGATTGGCGTGGACAAGGGAGAGGGCCTTCTCTATGGTGGCCCCCCACTCTGGAACTCACTCCCTAAAGTTATCAGACAAGTCCCCACTTTGGCAGTCTTTAGGAGGAGCTTGAAAACGTGGCTGTTCCAGTGTGCCTTCTCTTAATAAAGGAAATAAGGCCCGATCTGACCAATTTCCTTCTATATGTCCTCTGAATCACTTTATCTACCCATGCTTCAGAGGACATATAGAAGAAACCCCCATGTCTAGACATACCCTACTCTGTACATGCCCAATGTTTTAAAATTTTAATCTATTACATCTGGCCCTACCATAGTGTTTTTAAATCTCTTGTGTGGTATTGCTTATATGTTAGGTATATTATTATATTGTTTTATTTGCTTGCTTGCTTGCTTGCTTAGTTGTACTGTTGTATTTGTATTTGTCGGGCTTGGCCTCATGTAAGCTGCCCCGAGTCCCCTTGGGGAGATGGTAGCAGGGAATAAATAAAGTTTTTTTTAAAAAAAAAATATTATTATTATTACAACGCATGTGCAAACCTGAAGACGCAGGTTCTCAGCTTGGGCGTGATCCTGGACTCATCGCTGAGCCTGGAACCCCAGGTCTCAGCGGTGGCCGGGAGAGCTTTTGCACAAAACTTGTGCGCCAGCTGCGCCCATACCTTGGGAAGTCTGACTTGGCCACGGTGGTCCACGCTCTTGTTACATCCCGAATAGATTACTGCAACGCACTCTACGTGGGGTTGCCTTTGAAGACTGTTTGGAAACTTCAATTAGTCCAACGGGCGGCAGCCAGGCTACTCACCGGAGCGTCATACAGGGAACATACCACCCCTCTGTTATGTCAGCTCCACTGGCTGCCGATCCAGTTCCGAGCACAATTCAAAGTGCTGGTTTTGACCTACAAAACCCTATACGGTTCCGGCCCAGCGTACCTGTCCGAACGCATCTCCCTCATCCCACCTCGGAGTCTAAGATCATCTGGGGAGGCCCTGCTCTCGGCCTCACCTCTATCACAAGTGAGGTTGGTGGGGACGAGGAGCAGGGCCTTCTCGGTGGTGGCCCCTCACCTGTGGAATTCACTCCCCGGGGAAATTAGATCAGGGACATCCCTCCTTTCCTTTAGGAAAAAATTGAAAACTTGGATTTGGGACCAGGCGTTTGGGTAATCTGGCAGACAGATAAAGGACAATGACGACTAGAACTGATAGGAATTGACAAAGTGATACCAACCTTTGCAAAACCCTGGAAATTCTGCAGAACAAGTTCCTACGAAAGCTTTATTATCTTCCAGCGGGAACCCCTGCAGCGCTTCTGTGCACCGAATCTGGATTGCCATCAGTAAAATCAAGAATAGATTGTGCCCAATTAAGATACTTCAAACGAATTGCTACTCTTCAGGGCGACCGGTTTCCTGTGTTGTGCTACGAGGAAATGAGTGGCCATGGACAATGGAGATCCGGCCTGGAGGACCTCTTACTCAACTACAATCTTCCTGAATTGAATTCTGCCCTGGACATGACTAAGAGACAACTAAGAGACTGGCTATTTTGGATTGACTCAAGAAGGACCCTGCAATCAATCAGGAACTCAAAGTTTTCCCCTTGGTTTCCCTTTTTGAAAACTGAACACTTCAGAGCCAGATACCTGATTAAGCTCAAGCCTCCTTCCCTGAGAACCGCCTTCACCGAGCTGCGATTTCAAGTGATGCCAACCGCAGTGTTAGAAGGTCGCTACCAAAATGTTCCCTGGGAAAACAGACTATGTATTTGTAGTCAATGTCAGGTAGAAGACATTGTGCATTATCTGTTAGTCTGTCCATTGTATAGTGACCCAAGGGAAAGACACCTGAAACCCTTGTTGACACAAGATGAAGGGAACTCTATTGCAGAAACAGTGCGGTTTCTACTGGGCGATACAAATGACTATGTAACTTACAAAGTAGCCCTTTTTGCTCGCTCTGCAAAAAAGATCAGAAAGACAGAGTTAGATAAAATCGCTATCAACTGCCAAGGAGATTCTAAGGGTTAACTAGATCCTCTCCTAAAATGTATTTTAGCTATTATTAACTCCCATTGTTTTTGTTGTGGGAGCAAATTATGGTTCTGTTTAGTATCTTTGGTGCCTGTATTCTGAGGGTACTATTGTGTGTGTGTGGTACTTTTTGTCATGGCCTTGGGCCCGTACAATAAACTATTTTGAATGAATGACAAAGTGGAATGAATTGATGGAATTTATGGCAAATATTGAGCATGAGATTGGTTTTATTGATTGTGATATATAACTGATTGTTGTAACTGTTTATAACTATTTTAATTGTTGTTTATATATGTTTATTTGTACTATTGTGTAGGCATCGAATTGTGCCTTTTGTAAGCCGCCCTGAGTCCCCCCTCGGGGGTTGAGAAGGGCGGGGTAGAAATACACGAAAAATAAATAAATAAATATTATTATTATTAATTCCATCATTGTTGGAGTTCAGAATGCTCTTTGATTGTAGATTAACTATAAATACCAGCAAGTACAACTCCCAAGTGATTAAAATCAGTCTCGCCCAACCACAATACTATTCATATTTGGGTATCGGGTATTTGTGCCAAATATGCTCCAGTGAATGAAAATACGTCCTGCCTATCAGATATTTATATTATGATCCATAACAGTAGAAAAATGACAGTTATGAAGTAGCAATGAAAATAATGTTATGGTTGGCGGTCAGCACAACATGAAGAACTGTATTAAGGGGTCGCGGCATTAGGAAGGTTGAGAAAAACTGGTGTAAATTGTAAACGTGAAGAAGGAAGAAGTGCAAAAAATATGAAGAAGTGACCTGTACAAAAGGAGTCTTGTCTCAGGATCTAAAAGGAACTGGCAGTCCTCTCATGCTTACATTTCCTCTTCAAAAGGTGGGGCATGGACCATTTATGTCCTACTGGCACTCCCTCTCTGTGCTTTTTCAACCTTGCACTCTGGTGCTCACCTGCTGTGCAAACAGGTAGACTTTGAGTTCTGCGGGAGCTGGCAGCAGAAATAACCTGCTGGATCCAGGTAAGGTCTCTCTGCCTTTTCTGGATGGGACCGGATTTGAGTGTGTGTGTGTGGGGGGGGGGGGGAGCTATTAATGAATGCAGTAATCAGCCAGCTTTATTTATACCCCACGAAGCTTTCCATGTTCTGAATGCTCAGAGTAGACGCCAGAATTGTGAACTTTACTTTTGCAAAATTGCATTGGGCAGAGTGATTAGTGCACTGATTAATTCATATCCCTGTTGTCCCCAACTTTTACATAAATAGAAGAGTGTGTACGTATATTTATATTGATTTTGCCCTCAGGGAGTTTTGATGAAACTTGTCACTTGTCACCATTCAAATACCAAGCACTAGGGCCACAGTCCTAGTGACAACAAGTTTGCATTTATCTGCTTGTTGTCATGAGGAAACTGGCAATGAAAGAGACGGTTCTAGGTCAAGTATTTGGAGGATTATCACCTTTCAAGACAATGTTTTCAATTTCAGAAAAATAATAGAGAAAGGTCTATTAGATCTGATGTCATTCACTGCAAAATGACGTGTGTTCCACCAGAAAGCGCTCCAAATGAGGAAGCACACTGTGAAATAAAAATAAAATCTGGTGAAATAAAATAAAATGTATATTACTTATATCATGTATGGGCAAACCCAAGGCCAGGGTTGGATGCGGCCCCATGGGCTCTTTTCTCAGGCCTTCCTCTCTCACACAATTCTATCTTTCCTTCCTTCTCTCTTTCCTTCCTCCTTCCCTACCTCCCTTCTTCCCTCCCTCATTCTCCCTCTCTCCTTTCCTTCCACGCTTTCATCCTTCCTTTCCTCTTTCCTCCCTCCTTCCCCCCCTCTTCTCCTTCCCCTCTCCTCCCTCCTTCTCCTCCCTTCCTTCCTTCCATTTTCTTTCCTTCCTTCCTTCCTCCTTCCTTCCTTCCTCTCTCCTCCTTCCCTCCCTCCCTCTTTCCCTCTTTTTCTTCCCCCCTTTCTTCCCCTCTTTCCTTCCCCTTCCTTCCTTCCTCTTCCTCCTTCCCTTCTTCCTTCCTTCCTGTCTTTCCTTCCCTTCCTAATCCTTCCTTCCTTCTTCCCTCTCCCTCCTTCCCCTTCTTCCTCCCTCCCTTCCTCTCTCTCTCTTCCTTCCTCCCTCCCTTCTTCCCTCCTTCCTCTCCCTCCCTTTCTCCTCCCTCCTTTCCTTCCACCCTTTCATTCTTCCTTCCTTCCCTCTTTCCTCCCTCATTCCCTCTCTTTCTTTCTCCTTCCTTCCTTCCTTCCTTCCTTCCTTCCTTCCTTCCTTCCTTCCTTCCTTCCTTCCTTCCTTCCCTCCCTTTAGTCTTACCTTCCTTTTCTCTTTCCTCCCTCCCTCCCTTCCACCTCTCTTCCTTCTCCTTCCTGTCCTTCCTTCCTTCTGTCTTTCCTTCCTCCTTCCCTCCCTCCCTCCCTTCCCTTTTCTTCCCTCCTTCTCCTTCCTTCCTTCCTTTCCTTCCTCCTCCTTCTTCCACCCTTCCACCCTTCTCTTCCTCCTCTCTTCCTTCTCCTCTCTCCTTCCTCCTTCCTCCTCCTTCCTCCCTCTTTCCCTTCCTTCTCCTTTCATCCTTCCTTCCTTTCCCTCTTTTCTACCCCCTTCCCTCTCTTTCTTTCTCCTTCCTTCCTTCCTTCCTTCCTTCCTTCCTTCCTTCCTTCCTTCCTTCCTTCCTTCCTTCCCTTTAGTCTTGCCTTCCTTTTCTCTTTCCTCCCTCCCTTCCACCCTTCCTTCCTCCCATCCTTCTCTTTTTCCTTCCTCCTTTTCTCCCTGGGGATGTTTAGCTGGGAGAAAAGAAGGCCCTGAACCAGTGCTTGGCCGCTGTGACAGTCTGGATGAGGGCAACAAATTGAAATTGAATCCAGACAAGACAGAGGCACTCCTGGTCAGTTGAAAGGCCGAACAGGGCATAGGGTTACAGCCTGTGCTGGATGGGGTTACACTCCCCCTGAAGACGCAGGTTCGCAGCTTGGGTGTCATCCTGGACTCATAGCTGAGCCTGGAACCTCAGGTCTCGGCGATGACCAGGGGAGCATTTGCACAGTTAAAACTTGTGCACCAGCTACAACCGTACCTTGGGAAGTCTGACTTGGCCATGGTAGTCCACGCTCTAGTTACATCCCGTATAGACTACTGCAACGCTATCTACATGGGGTTGCCTTTGAAGACAATCCAGAAGCTTCAACTAGTCCAACGAACGGCAGCCAGGTTGTTAACAGGAGCGGTGCTCAGGGAACATACAACCCCCTTGTTGTGCCAGCTCCACTGGCTGCTAGTTTGCTACCGCGCCCAATTCAAAGTGCTGGCTTTGGCCTATAAAGCCCTAAATAGTTCTAGCCCAACTTATCTGTCCAAATGCATCTCCCCTTTCGAACCACTGAGGACTTTAAGATCATCTGGGGAGGCCCTACTCTCGGTCCCGCCTTCATCACAAGTACGTTTGACAGGGACGAGAGACAGGGCCTTCTCAGTGGTGGCCCCTTGGCTATGGAACGCCCTCCCTAGGGAGATCAGATCTGCTCCCTCCCTCTTGACGTTTCGGAGGCAAGTTAAAACGTGGCTATTCGAGCAAGCGTTTACAAATACAGAGTAGCTAATATAGGAAATCAAATGACCTGACAATGGAACTGGACAATGCTTGAGAATAATGAGACGCTGCTGATGTTGTTTTTACTGCTTTTGTGATGTCTTATACTGTTTAATGTTTTTTATCTATATTATGTTTTATGTATACTGATTTGTTGGAAACCGCCTTGAGTCGCCAATTGGCTGAGAAAGGCGGTATACAAATACAGCAAATAAATAAATAGACGTGTTCAATGAAGAATCCTTTCAAAGTAAGCAGACAATGAGTCATGAAGTCCAAAGGAAAGTCCAAATAGCATCAAAATCCAAGTGATAATGGAGAACCGGGGAAAAAATCCCCTTCTTTGGGAGTTGATCTGAACAGTGAGCCTAGACTTCATGACTCATTGTCTGCTTACTTTGAAAGGTTTCTTCATTGAACACGTATCCATGAAGGCTATATCTATTGGGATCTATCAGTCTTAGAACTGTTATGTTTGAGCATTGTTGCTCCTTTTCACTTTGCTTTATGCCACTATATTGAGCTGTATACTGGGAATTTTGATAAAATTATCTACTATATGCTCTTTGGATATTATACGTTCTCCTTACATAGATTGCTTTGTGTTTGTAATGTAAAATAAACCCTTATGGAAGTGGTTGGTCATTTGGGGAAATGTTAAACATTGATGGAGCAAGCACGCTCCCCTGAGGTAGGCCATTCTTCTGCTTTCGCCATCTGCTTCTCTGGCCCTGGAATCTTATTTGACAAAAGAGAACTTGTTCAGACAACAGATGAGTTAGGAACATGAATTAAAACCAACTTGTCAACGAAGAGTAGCAAAATGTTACCTTACTGTAAATTCTTTCTGTGCCTTCAAGTTCCATGTCGATGAATGGCAACGCCATGAATTTCAAAAGCTTCTCTTAGCCAAGGAGGACCCAGAGATGGTTTTACTTGTTCCTTCCTTCGAAATACGGCCTACAGCAACATAGTATTCATTTGTGGCTTCCCATACAAGTGCTAACCAGGGCTGGCCCTGCTTAGCTTTCAGCATCAGATAGGACCTGGTGCCTTTGGCATATTTAGGCAGGTAGTTTGGCATAATTCCATTTCATGTGCCATAAATTTAATGGATAAAGATCAATATCTTCCATTACTGCATAAAACGAATCTGGGTAAACCCATTATGAACTCTGCGTTCCAAGTTTTCCCTTGAATCGTTTTGGGTTTGTTTTAAGGAGGACATTGACTTTTCTGGCTGTATGTTTCTGTTGATGGGAAGCTTCCCACTGGAGTGGTAATCATTGGACAGATGGCAAGCTATTTAACCTCAGCAGACTGAAAGCCAAAACCAAGGTTACAACAATATCTGTTATAGAACTGCAGTATGCTGATGACAACGTCGTCTGTGTGCATTCAGAAGAAGACCTACAAACCACTTTAAACACCTTTGCAGAAGCATACGAGAAGCTCGACCTGCCATTGAACATTGAGAAAACCAAAGTCCTCTTCCAGTAGTCACTAGCCAATCCCTCTCCAATGCCAGAAATACAGCTTAATGGTGAAACATTAGAAAATGTTGACCATTTCCACTCCCTTGGCAGCCACCTCTCCACCAAAGTCAACATCAACAATGAAATACAACACCGCCTGAGCTCTGCGAGTGCAGCATTTTTCCGAATGAAGCAAAGAGTGTTTGAGATCCGGGACATCCGTAGGGATACCAAGGTGCTTGTTTATAAAGCTATTGTCCTCCCAACCATGCTATATGCCTGCGAAATGTGGACTGTTTACAGACATCACATGCAACTCCTGGAAGGAGTCAATCAGTGCTGCCTCCGGAAAATCCTGCAAATCTATTGGGAAGACAAGCYGACAAATATCAGCATGCTGGAAGAAGCAAAGACCACCAGCATTGAAGCGATGGTCCTCCACCATCAACTCRGCTGGACCAGCCACGTTATCCGGATGCCGACCACCGTCTCCTAAAGCAGTTGCTCTACTCTGAACTCAAGAATGGAAAATGGAATGTTCGTGGACAGGAAAAGAGATTTAAAGATGGGCTCAAAGCCAACCTTAAAAACTCTGGCAWAGACACTTAGAACTGGGAAGCCCTGGCTTGTGAGCGCCCCAGCTGAAGGCCAGCTGTGACCAGCAGTGCTGCAGAACTTGAAGAGGCATGAATGGAGGCCAAAAGAGAGAAACATTCCAAGAGGAAGGTGCGTCAAGCCAACCCCGACTGTGACTGCCTTCCACCTGGAAACCAATGCCCTCACTGTGGGAGACGATGCAGATCAAGAATAGGGCTCCACAGTCACCTACGGACCCACCCTGGAGGTTTCCCATTCCACAGTGACCATATGCATTCAGCACCAGAAGAGAGGTGTAATGTGACTATTATAGATCTCAGTCCAGATTTGCAGTATGCAAACTCACAGCAGC